AATACTTACATAATATCTTGCTGCTATTTTGTAATTAGTTTCCAACATACTATGTGGCTTCTTTGCAAGAGTAGTAAATGTGCCTTTGGCTTCATCTTTGTTTGCCACATTCCATCTCTGCTGCATGTCCCTAAGAGCCTCCAGTAGTGTTGTTATAGGTAGGTCACGAACTGATCGAATGGCATCATTTATTTATTTAGCAGCATTAGATGTCATGGTAAAGTATCTATTATTTGGGCAATGAACTCGTGCCTACTTCTGAATGCCAACTTTTTCTAGATACGTTACGACATCCAGATTCAACTTCATTATTTTAGACATATGCATATTGAAATCCTCTACGGTATAGGCCCTTGCGGCTGCATAAAACTCCTCTTTCACTGCTTGTGCCTCAGTCTTATAATGCATCTTCAGTTTGTTTGAGATATGATAGGTGCATAGACAATGTGCCGCATTAGGGAATACCTATATAAAAAAAATTGATGATTGATCAGTGTATGTACCAGTTAATATACATATATAATAAGATGAACAACACACCATTTAGTATCTGATCAGTATATGTACTGGTAAATATACTCAATTGTTCCTTAAATATACCATTACCTGCTCCACAGTGTGTCGTATGCTTTCATGTCCATCTGAAACAATGCATAGACCAACCCTCTCACCAATAACATCTTGCAATTTTCTAAAAAACCACATGTATGAGTGGTTATTCTCCGAATCAACAACACAAAATGCAAGCGATAGAATGTGAGAATTTGCATCTTGACAACATGCAGTTAACAAAAGTCCCCCATATGCTGATGTCAAAAATGTGCCATCGACAATAATAATTGGCCGACAATGGGCCCAACCTTTAACAGATGCTCCAAGAGACATGAAAACGTACAAGAAATTCTTCTCCGGCGTGGTCCTCACCCTAAAAATGCTTCCCAGATTTGATGCACGTACCTTCAAAAGATACTGATGAGCATAATTGTAAGATTGGTCAACTTTTCCACGTACAAGATCAATAGCTTTACGTTTTGACCTCCACGCTTTTTGGTATGCCAAGTTTATCCCAAAACGATTTTTCATGTCGTCAACGATATCAAGGGGATTATATGCACACTTCGTGTTCGTGAATTTCGTCTTGATAAAATCGCTAACAACGATTGAGGTAGCTTGTCTCTGGTTACTTGTTCGAACATCAAACGAACATACATGTTCAGTCCCGACAGCCCTTATATTAAAAGTGTTTGACTTACCCAAGCGTGATGCTCTCACAAACCATGAACAATCGTTCGATACACACCTTACACGCCACGACTTCTCCACCTTGAATTGATATTGCTTCTTGATAGCATCCATGGTCAACA